GTGTAAGAGGCATATGCTGGGGTCCGGTGTCGGCAGGGTTCAGGGTCCCTGAAGGATGATGGACGGCGTAGGTGAATGAAGAGTCAGACACCCGATTGGATGCCGGAGAACAGCCAGCCTCTGTGGGTCTGACCGAACTCATAGAGTTTGATTTAGGCTTTATTTTTATAGAGATTGTTGTATAACATTAAAGGAACAGGTGCATGGCATCATCAGTTAAGCAGAAAAAACCAATACAGAGGTAACCAGGAAAAGTACAAGAATTTCCATAGTTTCAGTTGTGTTAAACAAAAGTTGTTTTGACCAGGAGAACCATTAATCAGACAATTTGAACAAGCTCTGTGTATAGACTTTGAATGTGTTATTGTTTATTAAAGGTCTTAGAATTTGACATGGGGCAAAAAGGTACACTAGACCGAGTAGAGATTAGGAAATTCATTATAAGCCTTTGTGATGTCTAACTTAGCTATCTATCTTTCTGTCCAAAATGTTTCTCTATGTACCATGGACTCTAACTCCTTGATAATGGTATGTATGTGCTTAATTTGTAGTATCTCACAAGCTTTTCCTGTTTCTTTGCCTACTAAATTCTAATTGATATATTTTTTTTAATTTTTTATTGATTATGCTGTTACAATTGTTCTATTCCCCCCCTTCATTCCCCTCCACCCTACCCCCCATCCCCACCATTACCCCCCCTTTAGTTTATGTCCATGTGTCTCAAGTGCTTTAGATTCTATATTTCCCATGCTATTCTTGCCCCCCCCATTTTCTATCTACTGTCTATGCTACTTATTTTCTGTACCTTCTCCCCCATCTCCTCCTCCCACTTCCCTGTTGCTAACCCTCCTTGAGATCTTCATTTCTATGTTTCCACTCCTGATCTAGCTGTCCTTTTACTTTGCTTTTGTTTTAGGTGTGGTTGTTAATAACTGTGAGTTTGCTGTCCTTTCACTGTTCATGTTTCTTTAACTTCTTTTTCTTAGATAAGTCCCTTTAACCTTTCATATAATAAGGGCTTGGTGATGATGAACTCCTTGAATTTGATCTTATCTGAGAAGCACCTTATCTGTCCTTCCATTCTAAATGAAAGCTTTGCTGGATAGAGTAATCTTGGTTGTAGGTCTTTGGTTTTCATGACTTGGAATACTTCTTTCCAGCCCCTTCTTGTCTGCAAGGTCTCTTTTGAGAAATCTGCTGACAGTCTGATGGGAACTCCTTTGTAGGTGACTGTCCCCTTAGCTCTTGCTGCTTCTAGGATTCTCTCCTTCATTTTAATTTTGGCTAATGTAATGATGATGTGCCTTGGTGTGTTCCTTCTTGGGTCCAACTTCTTTGGGACTCTCTGAGCTTCCTGGATTTCCTGGAAGTCTATTTCCTTTGCCAGATTGGGGGAAATTCTCCTTTATTATTTGTTCAAATAAGTTTTCCACTGGTGGCTGTTCTTTTCCCCCTTCTGGTACCCCTATAATTTGGATGTTGGGGCGTTTAAAGATGTCCCGGAGGTTCCTAAGACTCTCCTCATTTTTCTGAATTCTTGCTTCACTCTTTTCTGTTTGGCCATTATTTGCTTTCTTCTGGTCCACTCCATTGATTTGAGTCCCAATTTCCTTTTCATTGCTATTGGTTTCCTGTGCAATTCCATTCATTTCAATTAGTTTCACCTTCATATATTTGTCTAGTTTGTGGCTATAATCAACCAGTTCTGTGAGGATCCTGATCACCAGTGTTTTAAACTGTGTGTCTGAGAGTTTTGCTATTTCTTCATAGCTTAGATTTATAGGCTCTGGGGCTTTGAGATCTTCTTGGGCCATTTTTGGTCTGTTCCTGCCCTTTAAGTGTGAGGAGCTGAGCCTTGCACTCCCAGGTTGCTGGGTTGTGACGCTGTATGTGGGGGCGTGGTCAGCGCGGGGAAATGGCGGTGCCCTCTGCTGTTTGGCGTGGCTGGGTGAGGAGCGGAGGCTTAGGTGGTTCACCAGGGCCGGGCCACTCAGAGTCGCCGGGTTATGACGCTGTATGTGGAGGTGGGGTCAGAGCAGGGAAATGGCGGCACCCTCCCTGCCACTTGCCCCAGGGACTGGCTGGGTCCCGGTCCAATCGCCCACTCCCTCCCTTGTCTAGCGGTGCACCAATGCGCGACCACAGTCAACCCGCAGCCCTGCTCCCCCGCTGTCTCCCCCGCGGTCGCTCGCTTGGTGGCTCGCTCGGTCTCTCACTAGGTCCAACCCTGCGCCTGGATTCCGTACGCCTGAGTCCGTCTGACCGAGTCCTCCTGTGCAACCCCGCTCCACCAGCTGCTGGTTTCGCCCCTTACTGGTCAGGCTGAAGAATTTGTTGTTAACAGACTTCCGAAAAGTTCAATTTTCTGTGTTCTGGCTGTGTTTTCTGTTGCTAATATTTAGTTGTCTATAAACTTGGTTGTGTGAGAAGGCACGGCGTCTCCACTTATGCCTCCATCTTGGCGGAAGTTGATATATATTCTTGTTCAAGGTAAAGGAGGGGCTGTTACTCCAACAACTTTTAGACATTCAGGGGCTATTTCATTAGAGGGAACTTTGTTCTCTGGTCAAGAAATTATTTTGCACAACTTTATTGGAATTATGGGAATCAATGAACCTGAAATACAAGTGTCTAACAATCCCACCACCTTTTGATCACCAAAACAAACATGTAAGGAGAGATAGACAGGAAATCCAGCCACAGTTGCCTCTGCCTTGCAGATGCATCACAACCATCCCAACCTTGTCAAGGGATGGTTGCTGGCCAGCTCCCTACGGGCATATGTGTAACAGAAATGAAAGTTCCTCAAAACAACACTCTTATTTGAGTGATGTGCTGTCACCCCAACCCCCATTCCATGTTAATTTATTTTAAAAATTCAAGCTCTATTGACTAAGGTCAAAATCTACTACATTGGTTTCACAATCCCTTAATGGCTTCGACATTCTTTGTGTTACCATACTAACTCTGCCATTCATCCCTGTCACTCTTCCATTGGTCCTAGAATAGAAATGTTAAAGAGCAGGCGAAACTTCACCTTCCAGTTTCTGGGAGGAACAAGAGCACCTCCTGAAGGTGGGTCAGCCCTAAAAACCTACTCTAATTAGGCAGGAGCTAGGATCAGAGGTCGCTGTCAGGGCCAGTAGGGCCCTGTGTTTTAGCTTTAAAAGTTGGCCCTACGACTCACTAAGCTGTGTGACCCTGAGTGACTGCTCTAAGGGGGCAGAAGCAGCCACCTTAGAACTGAAGTGGTGCGTGGACCCATGGCCTGCTCTCGTTCTGTGGGTGAAGCAGTCCAGACCCAGAGAGGATGTGAAGGGTGCAGACCACACTGAGAGGTCCGACCGCCTGTTTTAACCTCTCAGGTCACCCTTCCTCTATACAACTGGAATAATGAACGTTCCTTGCCTATCTCATAAGGTTGTGACTAGGCTCAAAATTGGATAATTAGGTACAAAGAATTTATTGACAATTTTTAATCCTCACCACAACCCCATAAGAGATACAGAGCATCACCCGTGTTTGATAGAAGAAATTGAGGATTGGAGAATTCAGGTCGGCTACATCTTAAAGTTGGCAAGTGGCAGAACTAGAGTCTAACCCAGTTCTGACTGCAAACCCCTCACCAAGACGGAAAGGTAAGCTATTCTCCTTTCATGTTAAGTGGTGACCATCGGATATATTGAAGTATACGGATCCACCCTGAGTCGCCACAGCATCATTAGAAACTGGCCAGGTTCGCTGATCCCAGCTGGGTGTACACGCGAACGCAAGGCATATCACGAGTGGGTTTTGAGCTTTAGCCTTTAGAACCGCCTGGACCCCAGGGGCCTGAGAACACGGACTGCAACGCGGGCGCTGCTCAGGCGTCACAATGGGAAATCACTCATAGTGAACGAGTCATAATTGAGAACTTTTCCTTAAGTGAGGCCCCCGGATGGTCCCTAACCAAAATCCCCAAGTCGCTTCAGCATAACCTCCTGACCCTAAAAAGTGTAGTTTTCGGGGAAAGGACTAGTTTACAGTCCTCTTGCGCTAGAGGACTTTGTTCCTTGAGGGTGTGTGGGTCTTCGGCTGTGTAACCCAGAGGCACCCGCCCCAAGGGGACCCCGCAGGACGTGTGTCCGGGCCTGTGGCCCCGGAGCCTTCGCGGGCGGGACCCCACCACAAAGCCCTTTATTGAAGCCGCGGCCCCCCCCACGCCCCCAGGAAGGAGAAGTGGGCCCGCGGCGCGGGGCCCGGGTGTGCCCGACCTCGTGCGCCTAGTCGCGGGCGTCGCGACCCTCAGAAGACACCGAGTGCGAGTAAGTGGGCCCTGGCGCCCCCTCTGGGACCCGCTCCCGGGGCGCGGGTGGAGCGGGCCGCTCTCGGATGGTGGCTGGAGCCAGGCGGGGAGGCGACCTAGACGGCCCCCCGCGGAGCGGCTCGCGGGTGGAAGCGCGGGAGGGGACCGGGCGGGGGAGACGAAGTAGGACCGTGGTTTACGGTTGGACGCTTCTTAAGTTAGGTATTTCAGAGAGGGAAACCTGCGAAAGTTTGCTTTTCCCCCCCTTTTGAAGGGCTGGGGCGGGGCCCAGGAACTTCGTGTGCCCGCACAGCCACGCGCGTCCCTTAACTGCGCCGCAGTCGGCCGCGGGGTGCGGGGTGCGAGCCGGTTGGGAGGCTCGGGCCGTGACGACGGAGCAGGACGGAAGAAAAACGATGCTGTTAACCTGGCATTTTCTCCTCCCCAGATCAGAAGAAGTGATAAAATGACTTCCAGGAAAATAAGGAGAACACAGGTCTGCCTTAGGAGTCCAGCTTCACTGAACATTTTGTCAGGGATGGTCTGACATTTAGAAATGCTTTCTCTGACTCGTTTTATTGTTTGAACATTAAAAATATTCCAACGAAGCCATTCATTAGGTGTGTTGTACCCATTTCAGGCAAAGTGAACAAAGTATCTGCGTCCTTGCTACAAAAGGCACCTGTGTTGGGAAATTAGACTGTAACAATTCACCATGGCGTACGGCCTGCCCAGAAAGAACACAGTGAAAACCATGCTGCGGGGCAGTTATCAAGTGTAAGTATTTTTAATCTGGTACGCATGGACTTGGCAGGCGGTGTCCTTGCTAAAATAAAAGTACTGGACACCCTTATGTTCCTCGTGAGGTAGATACCAGACTGCCTGAGACATTTTCAGGTGAATGGATGCTGTGTTTTTTTTGTTTGTTTTTTAAGGAAGTAACTATCACAGGAATTTATAAATTATCTGACTTGGTCTTCACAACAGAAGGGCACTTTAAAAAAAGATTTTATTTATTTTTAGACAGAGGGGGAAAGGAGGGAGAAAGAGAGAGAGAGAGAAACATCAATGTGTGGTTGCCTCTCACACGTCCCCTACTGGGGACCTGGCCTGCAACCCAGGCCCATGCCCTGACTGGGAATCAAACCTGAGACCCTCTGATTCGCAGGTTGGTGCTCAATCTGCTGAGCTACACCAGCCAGGGCCAAGAGGATACTTTCAAATGAGAAAACTGAGATTCAAAGAAATGGTTTGATCAAAGACACAGTTGTTTAATAAAGTGAAGCCTCCTTACTCTAAAGCAACACTTTCTGCTATTGCCCACTGACTTAAAATACCTCTGTAGATAGTGCAGAGTATCTGAAAATGCCTTGGTGTCAAGTATATCTTAACAAGAGCACTTAGTTAACTGGTAAGAAGGGTCAGTTTTTCATCCTGGATACTTTGGCAGGCGATGGCAAATAATCTCTGCAAAAGAAGTGCCTTCTCTATCCTTCTCACAAGGGAGTAGTTTATATCATGCTATTTATAAGAACAACTGAATTAAGAGGAAAGAATGGTAGTAGCACTCTTTGGAGTTCATTTGCTAAAGCATCTTGGGTTTTTTGTTTTATTATTTTTAGAAGGTTATTTAAAAAAACACTAAACACATACAACTTGCATAGAAGCATTTGAAAGGAAAATAAGAATGTTATTTCTCATATCCCCATTCCTACCCAACACCCCAGTCCCACTCGGGGGTAAAATGTTTTATATATTTTTATAGAATTTGTATTATACAAGATGTATATATATATATATATATATATATATATATATATATAGTCTGTCCAGAAAAAGTCCAGCCATTGTTAATATAATGAGAATAGTTAGTGCAACATCAGTGTAGCCTGGCAGCCAAGGAGAGTGGACTGGAATGTACATAGGACAATGATGCCTCAGTCCCCTTCAAAGCAGGCACCTTGGGGACTCACACAGTTCTCCTTATCTCCTTATCTCCTTGTTCTTGTATCTTTAGCAAATGTCTCTTTTTTATATTACATGGCTGGATACCTCATGGACGGAACTTGTGCACACTCACACACACAGTTTCACACATGGGCTTATACTGAAGTTTCCTCCCTATCCCAGTACATCCTGTAAAGCCTAGTGATTAAGTGCGCAGATTCTAAAGTTTGATGTTCCTTGTTCAAAACTCCAACTCAAGACCAACAGCCTTGTGACCTTGGGAAAGTTGTTCTCTGCTCTTGTTTCCTAACCTTTAAAATGAGGATAGTAACTGCACATGCCCAACGAATAAGGTTACTGTGGTCATTAAATGACTTCATATGTGTAAACTCATTTAAATAATGCTTAGCATATAGTGAGTGCTAGATAAAGATTAGCTGTTTTATTGCTCTTCTTTCCAAATCAATGAATAGGAATAAACCTCATTCTTTCATTACAAGTACGTGCCACAATTTGTTCACCAAGCTCTTTGATAGACACTAAAGCCATTTTCTTTGGGGGTTTCCGAACAAACGGTGCTTCAGTAAGCATCTTGTAAATAGCTCAGTGCGCTTGTTCAAGCACACCTGTCATAATTGTAGAATTCAAGTCATCCCTTAAAGTTAGATGGGAAGGGAGTAAGGAGGCAGGAGGCAGAGACCCGAAGGGTGGGCGGCACGAGTGTGCTGCCTTCACCGCCCTCACTCGTGCCAGAGCACGTGTGAGCACCTTCCCTTCCTCAGGCAGGTGAGCTTATAGTGTCTGTAGAGGAGGAACATCTCATTGCTTGCAGCTGATATTTTAACTTTCCTAGTCACGATACCTAAAACTATTCATTTAAAGTTCATAGTGATTATTTAAAGTATTATAGTTTGGCATTTTATCTCTCTTCAGTTTCCTAAGGATTCTCTTGGTACTAGTGCTTCTAAATAAATATACCTAGGCTAAGTACCAGCACTGGTTCTTAATTAAGTTGTGAATCTCAATTCCCTTGTCTACCTACATAGCGGCTGTAAAAATTAAAATAAGATCACACACTCAAAGTCTTATTGTATGCCAAGCACCCTGCTCAAGGGCATGCTTATTTGCTTTGTTCCTTCTCCCCTAATGTGACCTTATTTTTGATCGGCCATAAAAGACTACATCATTTTAAAAGACATGGAGAGATTCCACTGACTTCAGGGAGGCTGTGTGGTGAACAAAAGCTCCTGTCATTATAGCTTACAGTAATTTTTCAATATGTCATTACATTAGTTAACCTAAAGCTCCTTCTCCTGACTAGACTAGCAATCCTAGAAAATCCTGAATACCCCCACACCCAGAAAGCAAAATGTATAGTAGAAAATAGAACTTGAGAATTAGATGTTTTCTGTATCCCATAATAGATACTTAATAAGTATTTGTTGAGAGAAATAATGAATTTTCACTCCAGAGAGCAACCGTGGGATCTTGCACAGCTTACAGAGATGTGGTACACCAACCTGGCCAAAATCAAGTTCCCATTCTTGCAAGAAATTACATTCGGTGGTCCTGTATACCTCAAAAAGTGTAAATTCAGTCAGGATAGTCTGCTTCCTGCTGCAGAAGGTATGTTCAATAAGAGCTACTTTAATAAACTGTAAAATTTACATCTTTTGCTCATTATCAGCTACATGTTTAAGTATGTTCATTCTCTTCTCATTTATATTCAGGAATGTGAATTTTGCCATGTAATAAATATTCCATTTTTTCTAAGTTATACCTTGAGAAAATATCTGTTGGATTGCTTCATGTATTTTATTTTTTAGACATCAAACTGGAAAGGGAAAGTGAAATGAAACACCTGAATAATCTGAAACACCAGGAAAATACAGCCAAGGAAGTTCAATTTGCTCTGAGGGGAAAGCAAGGTGGTTTGAGAAGACCTCTTCCACCTAAGTGACAGTCCCCTCATAATCGTATCTGTGCTCTGTGCTTTCCGGTCTGGAGGGGATGAAGGTCTGCAGCCTGTCACTGCGTGAGTCTCCCTGCAGGCGTGAGAATGCCACTGGGGGATGAGCCAGCTCCAGTGGCTGAATAGACAGCTCTGACAGGCCTTCTGGTCCCTGCCACCCGCCTGTTCCATTGCATCACAAGCAATAGCACAGTAAGTAGATGAAAAATGCATCTGGATGGAGTCACCACTGGTGCTATTCATCTTTGTGAAATGGCACTAAGGGAAGAGAAAACTCCTTGTCAGAGACATTATTTTGAAGAACATTTAAAATTGCCTCTCTACGATCCTAAGGAGGCACCAAGACAGAGAGAGAGAGAAATTATTTTTTTTAATTATATTTTATTGATTATACTATTACAGTTGTCCCAATTTCCCCCCCTTTCCCCCACCCCACCCAGCACTGCCCATTCCCTCAGCCCATCCCCACACCATTGCTCATGTCCATGGGTCATGTATGTAAGTTTTATGGCTACTCCATTTCCTATACTGTATTTTACATCCCCATGGTTATTCTGTAACTACCTATTTGTACTTCTTAGTCCCCTCACCTCTTCACCCATTCCCCACATGCCCTTCTATTTGACAACCATCAAAATGCTCTGCATATCCATGATTCTGGCTGTTCTTCTTGTTTTCTTAATTTGTTTTTAGATTCAATTGTTAATAGATATGTGTTTATTGCCATTTTATGGTTCATAGTTTTGATCTTCTTGTTCTTAAATAAGTCCCTTAAACATTTCATATCATGATGGTTTGGTGATGATGAACTCCTTTACTTTTTTTCTTGTCTTGGAAGCTCTGTATCTCCCTTCAATTCTAGATGACATCTTCTCTGAGTAGAGCGATCTTAGCTGTAGGTCTCTGCTTTTTATGATTTTGAATATTTCTTGCCATTCACTTCTAGCCTACAAAGTTTCTTTTGAGAAATCATCTGATAGCCCTATGGGAACTCCCCTGTAGGTAACTAATTGCTTTTCTATTGCTGCCTTTATGATTTTTGCTTTATCTTTAACCTTTGGCATTTTAATTATGATGTATCTTGAAGTGGTCCTTTTTAAGTTCATATTGTTTGGGACTGTCTGTGCTTCCTGGTCTTGGATGTCTGTTTCCTTCACTAAATTAGGGAAGATTTCTCTCATTATCTTTTCAAACAGATTTCTAATTTCTTGTTCTTTCTCTTCTCCTATGGTACCCCTATGATGTGAGTGTTAGAACATTTCAAGTTGCCCAGAGGATGCTTACTTTATCCTTGTTTTAGGGAGTTCTTTTTTTCCTGTTATTTTGATTGGTTGTTTTTTGCTTCCTATGTTCCAAATCATTGATTTGATTCTCTGGTTCATCTGCTCTACCATTTTCCCTGAAAATGGTTCTTTGTTTTAGTTAGCATATTCTTCATTTCTAACTAGATATTTTTTATGCTGTTAAAGTCCTCATTAAGTTCCTTGAACAGCCTTATAATCAGTGTTTGAACTCTGCATCTGACAGATTGCTTATCTACATTTTGTTTAGCTCTTTTTCTGGCGTTTTGATCTGTTCTTCCATTTCGGCCAAGTTTCTTTGTCTCCTCATTTTGGCAGCCTCCCTGTGTTTATTTCTATGTATTAGGTAGAGCTGCTAATGTCTTGGTAGCATAGCCCACCGTAGTAGGTATCCTGTGGGCTTCAGTGGCACAGTCTCCCCTATCACCCAAGGTGTGTACTCAAGGTTTGCTGCTTGTGTGGGCTGACTACACCCTTCTTGTGTAGTTGAGCCTTGGTTGCTGTTGGCAGGTCAGTGGGAAGGATTTACCCAAGTCAGTCAGCTGCAAGGACTGGCTGTGACCACTGACCCCCAACCTCCTCCCTCCATGCACGATCCACTGTGTGAGGGCAGGGTGGTGGTTCTCTGATGTGATCTGTATCTGTTCCCTGGTTGTGCAGGCTCTGGTGTTTCTTTGATGATGCAGGTCAACATCAGTCCCCACCTATATTCTGCCTGTAGCCACCCTACATGTACTATAGAGCACTCTGAGGTGGCTGCTTCTTGTGCTAAGCTTGAAGATTCCTAGGTGAAGCCAAGCTGAGAATCTAGGCTGGCTGCTTCCAGTGCCAGGCCTATTACCACTTAGCAAGAGTTACGGGGAGCGGGGTCTCACTGAGGCTGGCTGTAGCTTGTTTGAGAGGATTTAGGAAGTTGTGACATGTGAGCCAAGACCAGCCATTCATATGGAAAAGTCACTGTTAACAGCTTGTGTGGGCCCATTAATTGGGTGGACAGCTTTATGGGTCTGTGGGGGAGGGTTCAGGAAAGGGACTATGGCTTCTGACGCCTTTCTGACTGGGAGAAAGCTGTCCCCCAGCTCTTGCCCTGATGCCAGACACTTCAGTTCCTCCCTGTGTGCCACTGGTGCCTTTCAAGCTGCTGCCCTGGTGCTGGGGCTCAGAGAGAGTTGGTCAGAGTAAGTTGGTATGTGTATTCTTTGAGGTATGAGGTACCTCATATTCTTTGAGGTACTCTGTTGGTATGAGGAACTGCTTGGGACTCCAGAAGTTTCTTCCACAGACTCAATCCCCACTGGCTTTGGCAGCCAGAAGTTGTGGGGACTTATCTTCCTGGCACTGGAACCCTGGGCTGGGGGACCTGGTGTGGGGCTGGGCATCCTCCCTCCTGAGATATCCCTTCCAGTTTTTATTGACCACACATGGTTGTAGGACCAGCCCATTCCATGTCTTCATCCCTCTTAATAGTCTGGATAAATGAAGTTTCTTTAATTCTGTAGTTGTCAGACTTCAATTCAACTCAATTCCTGATGATTGTGAGTTATAATTGTTCTATAGTTTCATTGTGATTTTGATGTGGTTATGCAAAGAGGTGAGGTGTATATACCTATGCCACCAACTTGACCAAAAGTCCTCTAAAGTATCCCCGGAAATTCTTTTAAAAATGATTAGCTGTGAAAACTTTTGTTTGTTTAAGAAAAATTTTAGATTTCTTTTTAGTAGCTCCCATTTCTCAATTTTTAGTGATATGTCATTTTTATTCTCATGTAGTACTTTAAAGTAATAAGTAAAACTTGTTTATGTTTTGTTCTTCTAAAAATTGTCTTTTTCCTTCTGCTTAACTTCATATTGTATCTCTGGGATGCCCTGGAGCATGTGGAACATGTGTGTGTATGTGAAAGTGACATGAAAATAACAAAGACCTATATGGAGGAAAAGTCTTATTTGTACAGAGTAGCTGGAGAATGAGGAGTGATTAACTAGGAAGTTTTAGATTTGCATGAATGAACCAATTTTCCTTGAATTCAAATTCAGTAAAGCACATTTGAATATGAAAATATATTTAAGCACTGCTTAGTGTTTGTTAGATGATTTAGTAGGTATTTTAGGCGTTTCTGGTATCTTAACCTCATTATGAAAGGCACTATGGCATAACGTTTAAGAGTGTGTACTTTAGACCAGGCTGTCTGGTTTCTTATGTTGTCACTTCAGGGCCTACCCTAATGCCTAACTCATGTAGGCACTCAATAAGCATTTATTGATTGTCGACTGAAAATTTCCATATGGTCAAAAGTTCATAATTGAAAGTACTCAGGGAAATGGTTTGTATGTATGGTGATGATGCAAGAAAGCATAGAAACAAAATTCTATCTTCTATGTGAGGAAGTCAACAGATTATGCATCTGTAAAGGAAAAGCCAAGAAGTAGAAATACCAGGTGTTACTAACAGACACAGATAAATAATGAAATAGGTGAAAGATGACACTGGTTGCCTCTGGGGAAGTGAAAATGAGTGGCAGGGGTACCATAGCTACTGTCTTTAAAAACAATTTTTTATTTTATTCTTTAACATGCATTTTCAACTGATAATTTAGAAAAAGAGAAACAAAGTGAGTTCCATGGAAATTAAGAAAATTTCTCAAGGATAAACAATGAATCAGGGAAAGGTGGGGAAAGAAGACTGGAACCCAGACCTATTAATTAAAACTAGAGTTTTCTTTCTACTGCTCTCTTATGTAAATGCAATTTTAAAAAATATATTTGATTGATTATGTTATTACAATTGTCCCATTTTCCCCCCTTTATTCCCCTCTGCCCTGCACTCCCACTTTCACCCGTATTCCCCTTGTTTAGTTCATGTCCATGGGTCATACATATAAGTTCTTTGGCTTCTACATTTCCCATACTATTCTTAACCTCCCCCTGTCTATTATTCTACCTACTGTCTATGCTACTTATTCTCTGTACCTTTTCCCCCTCTCTCCCCATCCACTTCCCCACTGATAACCATCCATGTGATCTCCATTTCTGTAATTCTGTTCTGTTCTTGTTCTAGTTGTTTGTTTTTTTTAAGGTTCAGTTGTTAAGAGCCGTGAGTTTGTTGTCATTTTAGTGTTAATATTTTTAATCTTTTCCTTAGAAAACTGCCTATAACATTTCATATAATAAGGGCTTGGTGATGATGAACTTCTTTAACTTGACCTTAATTGGAAAGCACTTTATCTGCCCTTCCATTCTAAATGAAAGCTTTGCTGGGTAGAGTAATCTTGGATGTAGGTCCTTGCCTTTTGTGACTTTGAATACTTCTTTCTAGTATCTTCTTGCCTGTAAGGTTTCTTTTGAGAAATCAGCTGATAGTCTAATGGGAACTCCTTTGTAGGTAACTGTCTCCTTTCCTTTTGCTGCTTTTAAGATTGTCTCCTTATCTTTAATCTTGGCTAATGTAATTATGATGTGCCTTGGTGCGTGCTTCCCTGGGTCCAACTTCTTTGGGACTCTCTGAGCTTCCTGGACTTCCTGGAAGTCTATTTTCTTTGCCAGTTAGGGAAGTTCTCCTTCATTATTTGTTCAGGTAAGTTTTCAATTTCTTGGTCTTCCTCATCTCCTTCTGGCACCCCTATGATTCGGATGTTGGAATGTTGAAAGATGTCTTGAAGTTGCCTAAGCCTCTCCTCATTTTCTTGAATT